GAAACTCACTTTAAAATTATTCAAGTGAAATTCCTTAAAGATCACTGTGTCATAGAATAATATAGTTCTCAATCAGTGCTTACCACAAGATACAATTTGTAACTTTTTACATCAACAAGTCCCAGATAATAATGATTAAGAAGGTGGGTACCCGAAGGTGGGTAGCCTCCAACTTGGGATGCTCCAATTCTTACAAAATGTATTTTGCATCAGTGAGCAGTGTTTGTCTTCCTGCACATGGGATTTTTTCTGACCACAGCAAACTTGCTAAATGGATTCACACATACAAAGTCTGAGCTCTAATTCTACTATGTACTACCTGTGCCACCTTGCCAAAGGACAGACACATCACTCTTTAGTTTTAGCAGCATTTAGAAATCAGGATGACTGTTTATTTCATTAAGTATAAAAGCAACAAATGCATGAAAAATTCTTAGCTTTCACTGTTAGCTATTATTATTATCCCCTGCTTTGCCAATTGGTCTCTGTGAAGACAGAATGCCTGTGGCTTCAAAATTACCCAGGTACAGTCTCTTTTTAATAAAATTACTCAAAAAGGTCTTAAGTAGACCTTTTTAGTTTGTCTTTTTGCCCTTCACAAATGCTTTCTTCCTGCCTTTATCAGTAGTTTTTCCACATATGAATACTTCATTTGGTTAGTGAGTACTTCAATTTGCATTAATTTCTGTTTCTGGAAGGGGGAAATATTGATTTATCTGACTGGTTAGATTAGGTTTAGAGAAGAGTTTTGGATTTAACAGCCTTCAATGCTTATCTTGCAGGATACAGGAATTATGGGCCATTTATGAATTGATGTGATTTATTAGAGCAATACCAGAGAATTTTCTCCTTACCTGTATTATAAAAACCATTGTGTAAAATAAACAGAAAAACAAAACAAGAAGATGCATGTCAAACTAGTGCCTAGATTTTTTTCAACACCAACATATTAGTGTTTTAGTCTTTATTGTTTCCAGGCAGAATCCTCAATATCTTTAACATTAGGGGATAAAAGCTAATTTTCCTAGCTGGGCACACCTAGTGGCATATTCCTATAATCCCAGCAACCCAGAGGCTGAGTAGGAGGATCACAAGTTTGAGGCCAGCCTTAGCAATTTAGCAAGATAAAAAAATAAAAAAAGAGTTAGGAATGGCTCCGTGGTAGAGCGCCCCCAGGTTTAATCTCCCAGTGCCAGAGAACTAAACCTGGTTTTCCTAAGCAATTTAAGTCATTACCAACTATAGTAAATCCAATTTCTTCCCACTATAAGCCAAAGAGCTCATTTTTAAATTTCTTGGACTCAAAAGTTAAATACTATCAGTTTTATTAGAGTTTAATAGTCCTGGTGCTTAGCTTCCAATTTGTGATGCCCCAGTTCTTACAAAGTGTATTTTGCATGAGTGAGCAGTGTTTGTCTTCCTGCACGTGAAATTTTTTCCTGCTAGAGCAAACTTGTTAAATGGATTCACATGTACAAATGGTGGGAAGACTAAGTGACAATATCATGAACACATCTCCTCTGGAATCATAGGTCTTTATGCCTGAGAGGAAAAGTAGCATGTGACTTCCATGAAATAAAAAGGCTTTTATTATGGCAACACTTAAGTTTAGTTTTTAGTACTAGAAAGTACTAAAAACCAACACAACCTCAGGGCTAAAATGTTTGATAGTTTAAATTCTGTTATCTTGTGGCAGCAAGATATAAGCAGTCACACTTCCAAAATATTAGAAAGTGTGTCAAATACCCAAATTTCAATGGTTGTCAATTGAGCATAGGAAACAGGAGTTCAATGTTTTTCTCCCCAGTGAAGACAGGGCATCTCATTTTAAAACAGTATTAGTATGTAATTGCAGTCTTCCCCAAGGTACTGCCATTGAACACACAATGAGGGGAATTACAGCCTTACAAGGCCTCCAACCCTCCCTGGCATCCTGTCATCAAAGGACCATCTATTTCCAACTGTTGCTTCTTGCATTTTGGTTCTTAAAACAAGTCCCGGGGTTAACACAGAGCATACTTTTTAATTTATAATTAAATAAAATATTTATTTTTATCAGAGAATTCCATTTATAGTCCATTAATTTTATTAAAATCGTTTTAGAAAGTTCTAAGACAGGAGGAATCATTATGGAAGAATTTTGACTTAGTAGTTTTAAAATCAAGATAATGAGGGGCAGGCTTAAAAACTGACTCCTACATCAATGGATTGCTATTAATTTGTACTCTTTTCCCAAACTGACTTTTTTTGGGGGAGGGGCAGGGGTGCATTATCACTGAGCTCTATCTCAGGCCCTTTTGACTTTTTATTTCAAGACAGAGTCTCACTAAATTGCTGAAGTCCTTGCTAAATGCCAGAGGCTAGCCTTGAACTCGAAATTTGGTTATCCTCTTCCTGGCTTAGCCTCCTGCATTGCTGGGATTAAGTCACCCTGCCTGACCCAGAATAAATGATAAACTTTCCACTAAAAAGGTAGATTGGTCTCAGGTAGAACCATGGTAAATTAAATATAGAACTTACTCAGAGAAAGTGAATAGAAACAATTTTCAATGTTTTCAAACATCAGAACCTTTGAATGAGTCTTCTTAAATCAACCTCTCATTCTCACAATACTGATCTTTGCTGAATTTTTTTTTTTTTTTTGGTACTGGGGATTATTACACTTTGGGCCTCATATATACTAGGCAAGTGCTATGAATCTGAGCTACATATCCAGCCCTTTTTGATTTTGAGACAGGGTCTTGCTGCTAAGTTGCTCAGGCTGGCTTTGAATTTGTGATTCTCCAGACTCAACCTGCTGAGTAGGAGTAGCCACCATTCTTGGTGCTCAAAGTATTTTTAAGGCCTTATGTAGAGCTTCCTTTCATAGCCTACAGCACATCTTTCTTCAAATCCTTAACAGAGACAAATCTAATGGCCTTGGTCCTCAGTTAAATATGGTATTTGGGAAGAGAACAAAAACAATGTACTATTAAATGTACATTTTGAATAAAGTATTCACTAGCTACTCGAAGGTATTCAAACCACCTCTTTGCTTTACAGATGTAGTTTGTTGTTTTGATTCAAGCCTTAAGGATTCTATTTTAGGAAACTCAGGTACAATTGCTATGGAGGAAAGATTAGATACAGAAAGCTTAGGGTTGGGAAAAGGATGATGACCAGATGAGGTTCTCCTTTTGCAAAGGATACTGGAAGAGAAAGACAGCTTAGTGGGGTGGGGGTTGTGGGGGTAGGGAGTGTGGCTAAAATGTTTAAGACGGAAAGATTTACTGAAGTTCAGAGATTATCAAAGGCACTTATCTCAATCACCTAACATATTCTGTATTTTTAGGACCCTAATGGGACCAAGGAAATTAACAACTTTTTTATTTTTTAAATTTAAAGATAGGGTCATCTGTAGTCCTTTTTATATTTTATTTTGAGGCAGGGTATCTCTAACTTGCTGAGGCTGACCTTCAACTTGTTATCTCCTGCCTTATAGTCTCCTCAGTTGCTGGGATTATTGCCTTTGTACCCAGCTTGATGTCCATTTTAAAGCAATATTGCAATTTATTATTTGCTGTATGTTGCCTCTTCTTCCAATATCCTTGTTTGCTTTTATGGGAGTCTGAACTTGAGTTCCTGGTTTGGAGAATAAGGGAGTGGTAGGAAGAGGGAAAGCAGTGTAGAATGACAGTATGCCCCTTTATATAATTTTGGAGCTGAAAGGGAAACTAGAGGTCAAAGTGATACCAACAGCTTTTAGCAGAGGAAACTACATGGTTAAAGGACAATTAGGCTTCAAAGGTAGAAGTAGGTGCGGTATATGCAAATTTAGTAAATCATTAAACCCTGGATAGCAACCTTTGTTCTCCTGCTGAGAACAGGGTCACAGCTAAAGTTTTTCTGGTAGAGAAGGGATTTCTAAAAAATCACCCTCAGAATTAGGCTGCCAGTACAAGAGCAGAGGATAGGGTTGAGGCAGACAAAGGATCTAGCCCAACCTCCTCCATGCTTATTATCCAATCCACCTCTAGCAAGACTTCATCTCTCTGGATCCTTTATTTTACCTAATTTTTTTTTTTTTTTTGAACAGCAACAAAAAAAGGTGGTTATGTCCCTTTCATTTTAGGACACTTTAAAACACATACTGTGCAATGTACTGAAAGTGGGGGTGGGAAAGAAAGCTTTCATTTATTTGAAAAAAAAAAAAATCAATCTGACTTCAGAAACCAAATCTACACACATCCAAAAATTGAAACTACAGAATACTTCGAGGATTACTAAACTGTAACTGACTCATCTCTCTTCTTCACCTAGTTATCTTTTCCTTCAGCTCAAATCTGGTACTAGCCAGGACCAGTACACACCCCTGGAGCTGTTTCATTCCATTGGCTGGCAGGCCTTCTGCAGTCTACACCCTTTAATGTCAGGACACCCAGTGTTTATTTGTCAGAGACATTAAACGGACCTATTTTTTTTGAGGGGCGGGCAGTACAAAACAAAGTGTAAAAATAACTAACTTCACAAGCGCTTAGTAATTTCTTTTGGTTAATAAAACTGTCTAGATTTCGAACCTTGAAGACTAGTCATTTTCTATTTTCCTTTTTCATCTGTCACTATTCCAAAAAAAAAAAAAAATCAGAAAATAATTCTATAGTTTGCATTCGGGGGAAAAGTCAGAGGCCTACAAAAACTCTCACAGCACCATAGGATGGGCTAGGGGCCAGTCACTGCCTTCTCCAGAAGTGGAATTTGCAGGAATTGGACTAAAAGACCAGTGCAGTGTCTACTCTGATACAGCATTGGCATAGAGGCCAGCGGTGATGGCTCGCGGGGGAAGGACGCGGGCTGACTACACTGTGGTTTTAGGGCGGAAAAATCACTTATCTTCCAAAACTGCCACACCCGAGACCGGCTGGCCGGGGCGGAGAGCTTGGGAGGGGAACACCGCCCGCCCGAGCACAGAGCAGTTGCTCCTCGCAGGAGGGCGGGTAAGACGGGGCCCAGCGAGCGCTCACCTCCCTTGCAGGGCGTGCGGTGCTGGCTGTGTTGGGCCCGGTAGCCCTCGATGACCTCCCAGGAACCGTCGTCGCGCCGAATGGGGAAGGAGAGGCTCAGCACATGGTTACAGGGCTTGATGATTCTCAGGATGCCTCGCACCCGGTTCCGCTTCTGTTCCTCGCTCTCCCGGGTCTTCAGGTCCTCCACCAGCTTATCCTCCACGATGCTGGCACCACGGTCGAAGAAGCCCTCCACCATCTTGAAGAAGTTGGGGTCGTCTTCACGGTCGGCAGCCGCCTCGCTGTAGTGGCGCCGGGAGGGCGGCGTGAATCCCGGCTGCGGGGAGGCGGCAGGTTGTCCGCGGGCCCAGCCCAGCAGCGCAGCCGAGTCGGCGGCCGCAGAGGCCAACGCAGCGGGTCCGGCGCGCGACAACAGCAGCGCTTCGCCCAGGCGGCAGTACATGGCGGAAAGTAGAGGCGAGAGGCGAGCGGGCCGCAGAAGAGGTGCGCTCGGAGGCCTGGGACTGAGGGAGGAAGAACTTGGCGCTGGCAGTCCTTTTAAGCCGCAGCTTCCTGCCTGCCTGGCTGTCCCCTCCCCTCGACCGCTCGTCGTCTAACGGGAGGAAGGACTTCGGGGGCCGCGCGCCGCCCAGGGCGCTCGGCCTCCGCCTCCGCTGCGGCCTCGCCCGGCCTCCCAGGCGGCGGCGCGTGCCGGCCTGGCGTCGGGGGCGCGCAGGCGCGGGCGGTTGGTGCGCATGCTCACCGGCGGGTGGAGGGGTGAGGCGGGTGCTCGGGCGGCCGGATCTCTTGGGAGCCCGCCCCTAGCCTTCTGGGGGTTCTCAGGTGTGTGCGCGCTGCTGGGGGAGGGGACCGAGCGAGGGAGAGGACCCTAGTCTCTCGGGGGCGCTGCGAGGCGTAGTTGCGGGGTCTGGGCGGGAGCGAAGCCTGGAGGTCTGGCCGCGGTCCCGGGGCGTCTTAGTCATGTTTCCGTCCGTCTGCTAAAGAGGGGCGGCCACGGGCCGGAACCAGTTGTGCGGGGCTCAGGCGCTTGAGGCCGGAAAGCGATGCGGAGCAGAGGGTGTTGAGGTCTGGCTCAGAGTTTTCATCACTAGTGGAACTGAGAGGAACTATAAAGGAGAAGGCCGCGGGGCTGGGGAATCCCTGACCAACTGGCTTTTACTACAGACGTTTTTAATTTGTCCCATTCTACTAAAAGACATCGAGATAAAAGTTACGCAAAGCACTGTTGTCTTCCTCGATTCGTTGACTGTACTTTCTATTTTCCAGAATTATGGTCATGAAATAGTCTAAAACAAGGCAATGTGGAAATGCGATTATGCTCAGGAATAAATAAATAAATAGGAAATGCTAAATCTAATGCACTTCTTTAAATAAGATGTTTGAAAGAGCCTAATGACTCAGTCATTAAGGAAAGCTACCAAATGCCACATGACCATCATTAGTGGTCCCATAGTACTTTGGAGGTTTTTAAGTGTCATCTTTTTGTATTTCCTGACATTCATCTATTAGATAACTTCATTTATCTATTAGAATATGAAAGAAAAATTAAGTCTCACAAGATTCCGTAAAGTATATTCTTATGTTTTTCAGCAGAAAAGAGACCAGTATCCTGAATTTATTTTGATGGTCAAAAACTTGAAGGTACCAAATTTTGTTTTCACTTGATAGTATTATTTTACCATTAAAAAAAATTTTTTTTGTCGTTGTTGTAGACGGACAGAATGCCTTTATTTGTTTCTCTTTATGTGGTGCTAAGGATTGAACTCAATCCTCACACATGCTAAGCAAGCGCTGAGCCACTGAGCTACAGCCCCAGCCCCTTATTTTACTGTTTTACATTGCAGAAAGCAAACACCCCAAAATCTGAAGTTTCAGAATAATAACACCCCAAACCTGAAGTTTCAGCACTACCTATCAGCATTAGTAAGCTAATGGAAATGTTTTTCTTTTCAGGCTAATTCTCTGGTATGTTTTGAGGAAAGTGGTTTAAGAGATTAGTTTTATCTCTTTCTTGATAACTGCAACCTTCAGAAAATAAATGTTTAACTTTGCTTCTTCTGTGGCTTGTTCACCTGAATTCAAGAAGATGGAATTTAAGCAGCTTTGGAAGGAGTGAGGAATAGAGTTCTGGAAATTCTTTTTTATTGAGAATCTCCTGTGTAGAGTTGTCTTATAAAATGGCTATATGAGAAATCTATAAGAGGAAGTTTTTTTAATTTTAAAAACATTCATTGTTTTAAAATTATATACAAGTTGTAAAAAGTTCAAATTTTACAGGGAAGTTTTTTTTTTAAAGAAAGTGTAATTATCCAACCCTGCCCTTCTTCCCCCATTTAGTGCATAGTTGGAGTTATTCCTTTTTCACCTTAAATAAGGTATTATGATCACTTATTTAACAGAAGAGGGAACTGAGTCTCAGAGACAAAGTAAATTGTTGATGATAAATAGGTTAAGATTCAAACCCATGTATCTGATCCCAAAGTTTCATTATTTCTGCTATTCCAAAAAGTATCTTAAGCATTTGTTCCATGTAGTTTAAAATTACTGTGACATAAAGTCTCTAAGTTTCAGCTTTAGATTTATGATTTCTTTTGTAAAAATGTACAAATAGTTTGCAAATTAAAGTTTAATTATTTGTAGTAATTTCTGGTTCACAGGGGATCAAAATTTAACTTGAAGGGAATTTTGGTCATTCACCAAAGACAAATTGGTTTTCTGCCTTTGAAATTTATGAGTTTTTCTTAGCTGTTTTAAAATTCCAGGTTCTCCTCGATCAGTAGTGTGCTTTTGTACTTTCAAATGCTTCAAAAAACATTTTAGAAGACTGTCAGAATTTAGAAATGAAAAGCATGTAAATACATGAACAACAATCATTTGAAAAAATAGTGTAGTTGGAAAAGGTATATATTCTATCTCTCTAGATATGTCTATTCTGGGCATTTCATTTAAATGGAGTAATTCAGTAGGTAGTCCTTACTGATTGCCTTTTTTTCACTTAGCATGTTTTAAAGGTTTACCCATGTAGCACATATGTGTACTTCATTTTTTTTTTTCTTATAGCTGGACAGTAGTCATTGTATTGCTATATCACTATTTTTTCGGTGCTCTACCACTGTAGTGCATCTCCACTAGTTATTTTGACTATGAAGAATAATGCTTTTGTGAACATTCTTGTACATGTTTTTGTGTGGACATATTTTTTTCAGTGCTTGAGAGTGTTGACCTAGGAATTGCTGGGTCATATGGTAACTCAGTGTTTTACCTTTTAAGAAACTGCTAAATTGTTTTACACAGTGACTTCACCATTTTAATTGCTACTAGTAGTGTATAAGAGTTCCAGTTTTTCTGTATCCTTAAAATCATTTGTTGTCTTTTTTTATTATAATCATCCTAGTGGCTGTGAAGTGGTATTATTTGCATTTCCTTGGAGCTATAGATGTTGAGTTTGTGTATGTTTTCATGTGCTTTTTGTTAGACAGCTTTTCCTCAGCCATGGCTATGACAAATATCTGAGAAAGACTGCTTAAAGGACGAAAAATTTATTTTGGCTCATGTTCTCAGAAGTTTCAGTATAAGGTCCACTGGTTCCATTGCTTTTAGGCCTGTAATTAGGTAGAGACATTATGGTACAAGGTATGGCAGAGCAAAGCTGCTCAGGAGAGGTGAAGAGAAAAGGGGTGGGAGGAAAAAAATATACCCTTTCAGGGTATATTCTCAATTTTCTACTTCCTCTAGCTGGCTCCAAGTAGGCCCCACCTCTTACAGTTTTACCACCTCCTGGTAATACAAATAATGCCATCAAATTGTGATTCCTTCAATGTATTAATCCATTGATAAGGTCAGAGCCCTCATGATCCATCACTTCCCCAAAGCCCCACCTCTGAACATAGCTGCACATGGGAACAAGCCTTCAACACATGAGCCTTTGGAGGACATTCCAGATCCAAACTATAACACTTTTCTGATTTAGAAATGATCTGACTTAGAAATGATCTGACTTAGAAATGTCAGATTCTTTGCCTATTTAAGAAAAATATTTTTAGTTGTAGATGGACACAATAACTTTATTTTATTTCTTTATTTTTATATGGTGCTGAGAATTGAACCCATTGCCTCACACGTGCCCGGCAAGTGCTCTTCCGGTGAGCCAGAACCCCATTCCCTCCTTTGCTCATTTTTTAAGTTGGGTTATTTATTCTTTTATTATTGAGTTATAAGAATTCTTTATGTATTCTAGATGTAAGTTCTTTGTCAGCTGTATGATTTGCAAGTGTATTCTTCCATTCTGAGGATTGTCTTTTCACATTTTTAATGGTGTCTTTGATGCACTGAAGTTTTAATTTTGATGAAGTCCAATTTATAAGTATTTTCTTTTGTTGCTTGTGATTTATGTTACCTCGTGTAAGAAACTATTATCAAATTGGAGGTCATGAAGAGTTATACCCATGTTTTCTTCTGAAAGTTTTACAGTTTTAGATTTTATATTTGGGTCTTGGATCCATTTTCGAGTTGATTTTTGTATATGTTGTAAAAAAAAAAAAAGATCCAACTTTATTCTTTCCATATGGCTATCTATTTGTGTTAGCACTAATTTGTTTAAAAGACTATTTCTTTCCCATTGAATGGTATTCACTTACTCTTTGGAAAATAAATGGGCCTACATGTGAGCATTTATACATATCTATTCCACTTATCCATGTGCCCGTACCATACGTTAAATTACTATAGCTTTTTAAAAAAATTTATTTATTTTTTGTCTGTCAATGGGCCTTTCTTTTATTTATTTATATGTGGTGCCGAGAATTGAACCCAGTGCCTCATACATGGTAGGCTAGTGCTCTGCCACTGAGCCATAACCCCAGCCTTAATTACTTTAGTTTCGTAGTAAATTTTGAAGCTGATAAGCACAGGTTTTCCAGTTTTGTTCTTTCAAGATCATTTAGTTATTCTATGACACTTAAATTTCCATATGAATTTTAGGACCACGTGTCAATTTATGCAAAGAAGTCAGCTAGAATCTTTATAGGGTTTATGTAGACTCTATAGATCAGTTTGGGTATTAGTACCATTTTAACAGTATTACATCTTTCAGTTGGTAAACATGAATGACTTTCCATTTATTTAATACTTTAGAAATTTCTCTCAGCAGTGTTTTGTTATTTTAAAATGGAGGTTAAATTTTATACTACTTAAGATTACAGCAAACTGAGACAGCATTTCCCAAGAATTGTATGAGAAAGTAACCCTTCAAATTTGGTAAAATAACAAAATTGTTGCGTGAGTGGTGAGCATATGCCAAGCCCAGAACAATTTAGAATCAAGGATAGAATTCAAGAGAATCAAGGCTGCAGCAGTAATATTTTAGATTTATAAACTGTATGTCCATCTTAAGTGTTTTAGGAAAAATTAAGCTTTAAAATTTAAGGGATCAATCTGTGATCCTGAAATAAAATATGTAATAAGTTAATAAAAAATAAAATTTGTTTTTATTTAGTCAAATTTATTATTATTCTTTTTTTAAAAAAAAATATTTATTTTTTAGTTGTAGTTGGACACAATAGCTTTATCTCTGTATTTATTTATTTATTTTTTATGTGGTGCT